CAGTAATAGTTTTATAGTAGTAGTAGCAGTAATAGTATTATCAGTAGTAGTAGCAGTAATAGTATTATCAGTAGTAGTAGCAGTAATAGTAGTATCAGTAGTAGTAGTAATAGTAGTATCAGTAGTAGTAGCAGTAATAGTATTATCAGTAGTAGTAGCACCGCACTATCTCACCGCACCCACCGCACCACCATCACCACCTCGTCACCACCACCACCATCACCACCACCACCACCATCACCACCACCATCACCACACTCACCACCACCACCATCACCACACTCACCACCACCATCACCAACATCACCACCACCACCATCATCACCATCACCACCATCACCACCACCACCACACTCACCATCACCACCACCACCACCACACTCAACACCACCACCACCACCACCACACTCACCACCACCACCACCACCACACCCACCATCACCACACTCACCACCACCACCATCATCACCACCACCATCACCACACTCATCACCACACTCACCACCACCATCACCACCACCACCACCATCACCACCATCACCACACTCACCACCACCACCACACTCACCACCACCACCACACTCACCACACTCACCACACTCACCACCATCACCACCACCACCATCACCACACTCACCACCATCACCACCACCATCACCACACTCACCACCACCACCATCACCACACTCACCACCACCACCACCACACTCACCACCATCACCACCATCACCACACTCACCACCACCACCACACTCACCACACTCACCATCACCACACTCACCACACTGACCACCATCACCACACTCACCACACTCATCACCACACTCACCACACTCACCACCACCACCATCACCACACTCACCACCACCACCATCACCACACTCACCACCATCACCACCATCACCATCACCACCACCACCACCATCACCACCACCACCATCATCACCACCACCACCACCATCACCACCACCACCAATCACCACCACCACCACCACCACCACGCTCACCACCACACTCATCACCATCACCACCACCACCACCACACTCACCACCATCACCACACTCACCACCATCACCACACTCACCACCATCACCACCACCATCACCACACTCACCACCACCACCATCATCACACTCACCACCACCATCACCACCACCACCACACTCACCACCACCACCACACTCACCACCACCACCATCACCACCACCATCACCACACTCACCACCATCACCACCATCACCACACTCACCACCACACTCACCACCACCATCACCACCACCACACTCACCACCACCACCACCATCACCACACTCACCACCACCACCACCACCACACTCACCACACTCACCATCACCACACTCACCACACTCACCACCATCACCACCATCACCACACTCACCACCACCACCACCACCATCACCACACTCACCACCACCACCATCATCACACTCACCACCACCATCACCACCACCATCACCACCACCAACATCACCACACTCACCACCACCACCATCACCACACTCACCACCACCACCATCATCACACTCACCACCACCATCACCACCATCACCACACTCACCACCACCACCACCACACTCACCACACTCACCATCACCACACTCACCACACTCACCACCATCACCACCATCACCACACTCACCACACTCACCACCACCACCATCACCACCACCACCATCACCACCACCACCATCACTACCACCACCACCACCATCACCACACTCACCACCACCACACTCACCACACTCACCACACTCACCACCACCATCACCACACTCACCACCATCACCACACTCACCACCATCACCACCACCACCACCATCATCACCACCACCACCATCACTACCACCACACTCACCACCACACTCACCACACTCACCACACTCACCACCACACTCACCACACTCACCACCACCACCACACTCACCACACTCACCACCACCACCACCACACTCACCACCACCACCACACTCACCACCACCACCATCACCACACTCACCACACTCACCACCACCACCATCACCACACTCACCACACTCACCACCACCACCATCACTACCACCACCACCACCATCACCACCACCACCATCACTACCACCACCACCATCACCACACTCACCACCACCACACTCACCACACTCACCACCACCACCACCACACTCACCACCACCACCATCACCACACTCACCACACTCACCACCACCACCACCACCACCATCACCACACTCACCACACTCACCACCATCACCACCACCACCATCACCACCACCACCATCACTACCACCACCACCACCATCACCACACTCACCACCACCACACTCACCACACTCACCACCACCATCACCACACTCACCACCATCACCACCACCACCATCATCACCACCACCACCATCACCACACTCACCACCATCACCACCATCACCACACTCACCACCACACTCACCACCACCATCACCACCACCATCACCACCATCACCACACTCACCACCACCACCACCACACCCACCACACTCACCATCACCACACTCACCACACTCACCACCATCACCACCATCACCACACTCATCACACTCACCACCACCACCATCACCACACTCACCACCACCACCATCATCACACTCACCACCACCATCACCACCACCACCACCATCACCACCACCACCATCACCACACTCACCACCACCACCATCATCACACTCACCACCACCATCACCACCACCACCACCACCATCACCACACTCACCACCATCACCACCATCACCACACTCACCACCACACTCACCACCACCATCACCACCACCACACTCACCACCACCACCATCACCACCATCATAACACTCACCACCACCACCACCACACTCACCACACTCACCATCACCACACTCACCACACTCACCACCATCACCACCATCACCACACTCACCACACTCACCACCACCATCACCACACTCACCACACTCACCACCATCACCACACTCACCACCACCACCATCACCACCATCACCACCACCACCATCACCATCACCACCACACTCACCACCAACACACTCACCACCACCACCACCACACTCACCACACTCACCACCACCACCACACTCACCACACTCACCACTACACTCACCACCACCACCACCACACTCACCACCACCACCACCACACTCACCACCACCACCACCACCACACTCACCACCACCACCACCACACTCACCACCACCACCACCACCACCACCACACTCACCACCACCACCATCATCATCACCACCACCACCACCATCACCACCATCACCACCACCACCATCACTACCACCACCACCACCACCATCACCACACTCACCACCACCACACTCACCACACTCACCACACTCACCACCACCATCACCACACTCACCACCATCACCACACTCACCACCATCACCACCATCACCACCACCATCATCACCACCACCACCACCATCACTACCACCACCACCACCATCACCACACTCACCACCACCACACTCACCACACTCACCACCATCACCACACTCACCACCATCACCACCACCACCACCACCACCATCACCACCACCACCACCACACTCACCACCACCACCACCACCATCACCACCACCACCACCACACTCACCACCATCACCACACTCACCACCATCACCACCACCACCATCACCACCACCATCACCACCACCACCACCATCACCACCACCACCACCACACTCACCACCACCACCACACTCACCACCACCACCACCACCACACTCACCACCACCACCACACTCACCACCATCATCATCACCACCACCACCACCATCACCACACTCACCACCACCACCATCACCACCACCACCATCACCACCACCACCATCACTACCACCACCACCACCATCACCACACTCACCACCACCACACTCACCACACTCACAACCACCATCACCACACTCACCACCATCACCACACTCACCACCATCACCACCACCACCACCACCATCACTACCACCACCATCACCACCACCACCACCATCACCACACTCACCACCACCACCACACTCACCACACTCACCACCATCACCACACTCACCACCATCACCACCACCACCATCACCACCACCACCACCACCACACTCACCACCACCACCACCATCACCATCACCACCACCACACTCACCACCATCACCACACTCACCACCACCATCACTACCACCACCATCACCATCACCACCACCACCATCACCACCACCACCATCACTACCACCACCACCACCATCACCACCACCATCACCACCACCATCACCACACTCACCACACCCACCACCATCACCACCACCACACTCACCACACCCACCACCATCACCATCACCACCATCACCACCATCACCACCACCACCATCACCACCACCACCATCACCACCATCATCACCATCACCACCACCACACTCACCACCACCATCACCACACTCACCACCACACTCACCACCACACTCACCACACTCATCACCACACTCACCACCACACTCACCACACTCACCACCACTACCACCACACTCACCACCACCACCACCACACTCACCACACTCACCACACTCACCACCACACTCACCACCACACTCACCACCACACTCACCACCATCACCACCACACTCACCACCATCACCACCACCATCACCACACTCACCACCATCACCACCACCATCACCACACTCACCACCACCACCACCACCATCAACACACTCACCATCACCATCACCACCATCACCACCACACTCACCCCACTCACCACACTCACCACCATCACCACCACTATCACACTCACCACTATCACCACACTCACCACCATCACCACCACCATCACACTCACCACCATCACCACCACTATCACACTCACCCCACTCACCACACTCACCACCATCACCACCACTATCACACTCACCACCACCACCACACTCACCACCATCACCATCACCACCACCACTCTGTGTACCTGCAGGAGAGTCTGGCACGGCTGGGCATCGCCACGCGGGACGAGTGCGGGGAGTGGTTCACTGTCATGGACCGTGACCGCTCGGGGTGAGACACCAACACCACCAACACCACCAACACCACCACCAACACCACCAACACCACCAACACCAACCACACCAACACCACCAACACCCTCACACCAACACCACCAACACCACCAACACCACCAACACCACCACCAACACCACCAACACCACCAACACCAACCACACCAACACCACCAACACCAACACCACCAACACCACACCACCAACACCACCACCAACACCACACCACCACCAACACCACCAACACCACCACCAACACCACACCACCACCAACAACACCAACACCACCACCAACCACCAACCACACCACCAACCACCAACCACACCACCAACACCACCAACACCACCACCAACCACCAACCACCAACCACACCACCAACACCACCACCAACCACCAACCACACCACCCCACCAACCCCACCACCACACCATCACCACCAACCCCACCAACATCACCCCCCACCACCAACCACACCACCACCACACCCCCACCAACATCACCACCAACCCCCCACCAACCCCCCACCAACCACACCACCACCCCCACCAACTCCACCACCACACCCCCACCAACCACACCACCACCACCAACCACACCACCACCAACCCCACCACCACCACCAACCACACCACCACCAACCACACCACCACCACCAACCACACCACCACCAACCCCACCACCACCACCAACCACACCACCACCACCAACCACACCCCCACCAACCACACCACCACCACCAACCACACCACCACCAACCACACCACCACCACCAACCACACCCCCACCAACCACACCACCACCCAACACCACCAACCACACCCCCGCACCACCAACCCCACCACCACCACCACCAACCCCACCCCCATCCCTCTCAACCACCAACACCAACCCCACCACCACCAACCCCACCACCACCACCCACCCCCTTGTGATCTCTAAGGGTGCATTGAGACAAGTGAAACTCCGACCGATGCTCCTGCTGATGCGGATTGACTCGTGCAGCCAGGGCAGGGCTGCTGGGTTTTTGGTGTTCATGTTTTGGTGATTTCGAAAAAAAACTTTTTTTCGGTTTTGGCGATGTTAGTTTTGTTGTGGTACGGAGTTGGACTGACGGCCTGAATCGTGGTTGTCTCGTGGTGGTGGTTGTTGTTGTGGTTGTTGTGGTTGTTGTGGTTGTTGTGGTGGTTGTTGTGGTTGTTGTTGTTGTTTGACTTTGCATCCCACCGCCCTAAACCCCGGTGGTTGTTGTTTTGGTTGTTGTTGTGGTTGTTGTGGTTGTTGTTGTGGTTGTTGTTGTTTTTGTTGTTGTGGTTGTGGTTGTTGTGGTTGTTGTGGTGGTGGTTGTTGTTGTCTCGTGGTGGTTGTTGTGGTGGTTGTGGTTGTTGTGGTTGTTGTTGTTGTGGTTGTTGTGGTTGTTGTTGTGGTTGTTGTGGTTGTTGTGGTTGTTGTTGTTGTTGTGGTGGTTGTTGTGGTTGTTGTTGTTGTTTGACTTTGCATCCCACCGCCCTAAACCCCGGTGGTTGTTGTTGTGGTTGTTGTTGTGGTTGTTGTGGTTGTTGTTGTGGTTGTTGTTGTTTTTGTTGTTGTGGTTGTTGTGGTTGTTGTGGTGGTGGTTGTTGTTGTTGTTGTTGTCTCGTGGTGGTTGTTGTGGTGGTTGGTTGTTGTGGTTGTTGTTGTTGTGGTTGTTGTTGTGGTTGTTGTGGTTGTGGTTGTTGTGGTTGTGGTTGTTGTTGTGGTTATTGTTGTGGTTGTTGTGGTTGTTGTGGTTGTTGTGGTTGTTGTGGTTGTTGTTGTTTGACTTTGCATCCCACCGCCCTAAACCCCGGTGGTTGTTGTTGTTGTGGTTGTTGTGGTGGTTGTGGTGGTGGTTGTTGTTGTGGTTGTTGTTGTGGTTGTTGTTGTGGTTGTTGTTGTGGTTGTTGTTGTGGTTGTTGTTGTTGTGGTTGTTGTGGTTGTTGTTGTGGTTGTGGTTGTTGTTGTTGTTGTGGTTGTTGTTGTGGTTGTTGTTGTTGTGGTTGTTGTTGTGGTTGTTGTTGTGGTTGTTGTTTTGTTGTGGTTGTTGTTATGGTTGTTGTTGTGGTTGTTATGGTTGTTGTTGTGGTTGTTGTTGTGGTTGTTGTGGTTGTTGTGGTTGTGGTTGTGGTTGTTGTGGTTGTTGTGGTTGTTGTGGTTGTTGTTGTTGTGGTTGTTGTTGTGGTTGTTGTTTTGTTGTGGTTGTTGTTGTTATGGTTGTTGTTGTGGTTGTTGTGGTTGTTGTTGTTGTGGTTGTTGTTGTGGTTGTGGTTGTTGTTGTGGTTGTTGTGGTTGTGGTTGTGGTTGTTGTGGTTGTGGTTGTTGTGGTTGTGGTTGTTGTGGTTGTTGTTGTGGTTGTGGTTGTTGTTGTGGTTGTGGTTGTTGTTGTGGTTGTGGTTGTTGTGGTTGTGGTTGTTGTTGTGGTTGTTGTTGTGGTTGTTGTTGTGGTTGTTGTTGTGGTTGTTGTTGTGGTTGTGGTTGTTGTTGTGGTTGTTGTGGTTGTTGTGGTTGTTGTTGTGGTTGTTGTTGTTTGACTTTGCATCCCACCGGGATTGTTTGTTTGCACACAGCGTTGGCGGTGTGTACGCTGCTTTTTCCCGAAGTTTCTGCCGCTGTTCCCGCCGGATTATTTTTCCCGCTTGCGCGTAGAGTCACTTGAAGCTTCTGGGTTCGAAAGTTTTCGCTAGCGGCAGGGAGGTCCGCGCTCTTTAGATCTTTAGCCGAGGTCAGGTCGGTTCGGGGGGGTGGGCGAAATAATAAAAAATAAATAAATAATACCAAATAAATAAAACTATTGACAATTTTTTTTTTAAAATGAACAAATCGCCACGTTTCGACTGCAACACCAGCAATCATCATCATCATCATCAGGTGTGACAACCAGAGCTAGGATTTTTTTGATTTTTTGATTTTATCGAAGTGGGAGAAGGGACGGGGTTTAGGGCGGTTTAATAAGTCGGAGAGGGCTTGAACATTCTGGCGAATTTCCCGATGATGATGATGATGACGATGATGATGATGATGACGATGATGATGATGCTGCTGGTTGATGTGTAGTTACCCAGCGAAACGTCGCACTACTAAACTCAAACTGTAAACGATGTTGATTCACTCTTCAACAACAAACAAACAACAACAACACCGGCGTGTGGGCTAAAGCAGCAAACTACTTTGTCCTTTGTAAACGTGACGCATTATATATATTTTTTACTGTTTGGCCGTGTCGGGGTGGGTGGGTGGTGGAGGGGTTACGACACATTTATAGATGACACGATCTCACCACACCCCCCACCCCCACCCAAAATAAAACAACAACTTTATGATGAATGGTGCGAGAGGGGGGAGAAGTGTCACACTGCAGGTACAGCAGACGCGCTGTGGCAAAAAAAGCAGCGACGAATGATTGTTGCACAAGGTTCAGATGATGAAGCCTAGAATATCCACACTGCTTAACGCTGAGGACGATTATTGTGAGACCTCCGTTTCGCCAGTGACAAGATAGAGGGGATAGGTTTTATAACCACCTTTTAACTGGCACACAAAAAAACTGACACCTTTATTCAAGGCGTCGTGTCTGCAATAACCACAACACACAAGCAGTCAAAATGCACACAAAAAAAAGACAACTTTGATGATAATAATAATGATATTGGCAATGTCCTTGAATTTGATTGGTCCACACCCGAGACGGATTTTCTTAGAGCCCCTTTAGTCTCTCCCATTGGTGTTGGACCAGAAGACGCCAAAAGGCGTACAACTTTAAAAACAGCGCACCATCAGAGTTATTGAGGTGCTTGGGGTGAGCCATTTACATTATGAGACCTCCTTTGCCAGTAAAAAGATAGAGGAATAGGTTTTTACCCTTTTAACTGGCACCAAAACTGACACCTTTATTCAAGGCATCAACTTTTCTACAATAACCACAACACAAGCAGTCAAAATGCACACGAAAAAAAGACAACTTTGATGATAATAATAATATTGATATTGGCACTGTCCTTGAATTTGATTGGTCCACACCCGAGACGGATTTTCTTAGAGCCCTTTAGTCTCTCCACTGGTGTTGGACCAGAAGACGCCAAAAGGCGTACAACTTTAAAAACAGCAGCGCACCATCAGAGTTATTGAGGGCTCGGGGTGAGAATTTACATTATGAGACCTTTGCCAGTAACAAGATAGAGGAATAGGTTTTATACCCTTTTAACTGGCACAAAAACTGACACCTTTATTCAAGGCATCATGTCTGCAATAACCACAACACAAGCAGTCAAAATGCAAACAAAAAAGACAACTCTGATGATAATAATATTGATATTGGCAATGTCCTTGAATTTGATTGGTCCACACCCGAGACGGATTTTCTTAGAGCCCCTTTAGTCTCTCCCACTGGTGTTGGACCAGAAGACGCCAAAAGGCGTACAACTTTGAAAACAGCGCACCATCAGAGTTATTGAGGTGCTTGGGGTGAGCCATTTACATTATGAGACCTCCTTTGCCAGTAACAAGATAGAGGAATAGGTTTTTACCCTTTTAACTGGCACCAAAACTGACACCTTTATTCAAGGTATCAACTTTTCTACAATAACCACAACACAAGCAGTCAAAATGCACACGAAAAAGAGACAACTCTGATAATAATAATATTGATATTGGCAATGTCCTTGAATTTGATTGGTCCACACCCGAGACGGATTTTCTTAGAGCCCTTTAGTCTCTCCACTGGTGTTGGACCAGAAGACGCCAAAAGGCGTACAACTTTAAAAACAGCGCACCATCAGAGTTATTGAGGTGCTTGGGGTGAGCCAATTTACATTATGAGACCTCCGTTTCGCCAGTGACAAGATAGAGGGGATAGGTTTTTACCATCTTTTAACTGGCACACAAAAAAAAACTGACACCTTTATTCAAGGCATCAACTTTTCTACAATAACCACAACACAAGCAGTCAAAATGTACACGAAAAAAAGACAACTCTGATGATAATAATATTAATAATATTGATATTGGCACTGTCCTTGAATTTGATTGGTCCACACCCGAGACGGCTTTTCTTAGAGCCCTTTAGTCTCTCCACTGGTGTTGGACCAGAAGACGCCAAAAGGCGTACAACTTAAAAAACAGCGCACCATCAGAGTTATTGAGGTGCTTGGGGTGAGCATTTACATTATGAGACCTCCGTTTCGCCAGTGACAAGATAGAGGGGATAGGTTTTATAACCACCTTTTAACTGGCACACAAAAAAAACTGACACCTTTATTCAAGGCGTCGTGTCTGCAATAACCACAACACAAGCAGTCAAAATGCACACGAAAAAAAGACAACTCTGATGATAATAATAATATTGATATTGGCACTGTCCTTGAATTTGATTGGTCCACACCCGAGACGGATTTTCTTAGAGCCCCTTAGTCTCTCCACTGGTGTTGGACCAGAAGACGCCAAAAGGCGTACAACTTTAAAAACAGCGCACCATCAGAGTTATTGAGGTGCTTGGGGTGAGCCATTTACATTATGAGACCTCCTTTGCCAGTAACAAGATATAGGAATAGGTTTTAACCACCTTTTAACTGGCACACAAAAACTGACACCTTTATTCAAGGCATCATGTCTGCAATAACCACAACACAAGCAGTCAAAATGCAAACACAAAAAAGACAACTCTGATGATAATATTGATATTGGCACTGTCCTTGAATTTGATTGGTCCACACCCGAGACGGATTTTCTTAGAGCCCTTTAGTCTCTCCCATTGGTGTTGGACCAGAAGACGCCAAAAGGCGTACAACTTTAAAAACAGCGCACCATCAGAGTTATTGAGGTGCTTGGGGTGAGCCATTTACATTATGAGACCTCCTTTGCCAGCAACAAGATATAGGAATAGGTTTTACCCTTTTAACTGGACAGTGCCAATATCAATATCAATATTATTATCAGAGTTGTCTTTTTTTTGTTTGCATTTTGACTGCTTGTGTTGTGGTCATTGCAAACACGATGCCTTGAATAAAGGTGTCAGTTTTTGTGCCAGTTAAAAGGGTAAAACCTATTTCAATAGCTGAGGATGCAATTAACTCGGTAAAATAGACTAATAATACCCGGTATTGTTGGTTCTTTCGGTAAAGTCACCACCACGTAGAAGGGAAACAATAAAATAATAAAAATATAAAACAATAAAATTATTGTAAAACAACAAAATTATTATTCTTTGTTCTTTGGGTAAAATCACCACGTAGAAGGGAAACAATACAATAATAAAAATATTAAACAACAAAATTATTGTTCTTTGGGTAAAATCACCACGTAGAAGGGAAACAATAACATAATAAAAATATAAAACAATAAAATTAATATTCTTGGTTCTATCGGTAAAGTCACCACGAAAGAACCAAGAATAATACTTTAATTACAATAATTATATTGTTTTATATTTTTATTATTTTATTGTTTCCCTTCTACGTGGCAATGACTGAATCACCTACCCACCCACCCAGCCACCCACCCAGCTACCCACCCACCAACTTACCTACCCAGCCACCGACTCACCTATCCACCCACCTACCCACCCACCGACTCACCTACCCACCCACCGACCTACCCACCGACCTACCCACCCTCCCACCCACCCAGCCACCCTCCTACCCACCCTCCTACCCACCCACCCTCCTACCCACCCACATACCCACCCACCCACCAACTCGCCTACCCAGCCACCGACTCACCTACCCACCTACCCACCCACCTACCTACCCACGGACTCGCCCACCCACACGCCGACTCCACTACCCACCCACCTACCCACCCACCTACCCACCTACCTACCCACCCTCCTACCTACCCACCGACTCACCTACCCACCCACCTACCCACCCACCGACTCACCTACCCAGCCACCAAATCACCTACCCACCCACCCTCCCACCTACCCACCCACCCTCCCACCTACCCACCCACCCACCAACCCACCGGCTCACCCACCCACACGCCGACTCCACTACCCACCTACCCAGCCACCGACTCACCTACCCACCCACCAACTCACCTACCCACCCACCGACTCACCTACCCACCTACCCACCTGCCCACCTACCCACTCACCTACCCACCCACCGACTCACCTGCCCACCCACCTACCCACCCACCTACCCACCCACCCACCTACCCACCCACCCACCTACCCACCCACCTGCCCACCCACCCACCGACTCACCCACCCACCCACCTACCCACCCACCGACTCACCTACCCACCCACCCGCCCACCCACCCACCCACCTACCCACCCACCCGCCCACCCACCCACCCACCTACCCACCCACCCACTCACCCGCCCACCTACCCACGTGTGTGTGCAGAGCGGTGGACCTGCTGGAGTGGAGCCGTCTGATCGACTCCCACACTCGCATCTCCAAGCTCATGGTCGTCCCCAACCGGCAGGTGAGGCTCGCAAACTGGTACCCCCCGTTTAGCCACCCTGCCACGTGGTGATGATGGGCCCGTGCTACGGGCGATATCCTGACGGATTAGAGAGAGAGACACCACCACCATCACCACCACCACCATCACCGCCATCACCGCCATCACCGCCATCACCGCCATCACCACCATCACCGCCATCACCATCCAGCAGTGGATAGGGCATGGCGATGGCACTGAGACACAGAGAGAGACACCACCACCATCACCACCATCACCACCATCACCGCCATCACCACCATCACCGCCATCACCATCCAGCAGTGGATAGGGCACGGTGATGGTACTGAGACGGAGAGAGACACCACCATCACCACCATCCAGCAGTGGATAGGGCAAGGTGATGATGGCGATGGCACTGAGACACAGAGAGACACCATCACCACCACCACCATCACCACCATCACCATCCAGCAGTGGATAGGGCATGGCGATGGTACTGAGACAGAGAGAGACACCACCACCATCACCGCCGCTGTGATCCCATCCAGCAGTGGATAGGGCACGGTGATGATGGCGATGGCACAGAGACACAGAGAGACACCATCACCACCATCACCACCATCACCATCACCGCCGCAGTGATCCCATCCAGCAGTGGATAGGGCATGGCGATGGCACTGAGACAGAGAGACACCACCATCACCACCATCATCATCACTGCAGTGATCTCCATCCAGCAGTGGATAGGGCAAGGTGATGATGGCGATGGCACTGAGACAGACAGACACCACCATCACCACCATCACTGCAGTGATCTCCATCCAGCAGTGGATAGGGCACGGCCATGATGATGCGTCTCCCGCTAGGTCAACTCGGCCTTAAATGAGTACCTGGTGCGGTGTGCCGGCCTTCCTAGACACTGCTGCTGCTGCTAGCAGCACTTGCCCCAGCAGGCCATGTGAGGCTACACGGGGGACCTTTGTCTGTGCGAGTGTATGGGTGAGTTTATGGGTGGGTGAGGTGAGTGGCTGGGTGGGTGAGCGGCTGGGTGAGTGGCTGGGTGAGTGAGGTGAGTGGCTGGGTGGGCGAGTGGCTGGGTGAGTGAGGTGAGTGGCTGGGTGGGCGAGTGGCTGGGTGAGTGAGTGGCTGGGTGGGTGAGGTGAGTGGCTGGGTGGGTGAGGTGAGTGGCTGGGTGGGTGAGTGGCTGGGTGAGTGAGTGGCTGGGTGGGTGAGGTGAGTGGCTGGGTGAGTGAGTGGCTGGGTGGGTGAGGTGAGTGGCTGGGTGGGTGAGGTGAGTGGCTGGGTGGGTGAGTGGCTGAGTGGGTGAGGTGAGTGGCTGGATGGGTGAGTGGGCGGCTGGGTGGGTGAGTGGCTGGGTGGGTGAGGTGAGTGGCTGGGTGGGTGAGGTGAGTGGCTGGGTGGGTGAGTGGCTGAGTGGGTGAGGTGAGTGGCTGGATGGGTGAGTGGGCGGCTGGGTGGGTGAGTGGCTGGGTGGGTGAGGTGAGTGGCTGGGTGGGTGAGTGGCTGGGTGGGTGAGGTGAGTGGCTGGGTGGGCGAGTGGCTGGGTGAGTGAGTGGCTGGGTGGGTGAGTGGCTGGGTGGGTGGGCGAGTGGCTGAGTCGCTGGGAGGGCGAGCGGCTGGGTGGGTGAGTGAGTGGCTGGGTGGGCGAGTGTCTGGGTGAGTGGCTGGGTGAGTGAGTGGCTGGGTGAGTGAGTGGCTGGGTGAGTGATTGGCTGGGTGAGCGAGTGGATGGGTGAGTGAGCGGCTGGGTGGCTGGATGGGTGAGGTGAGTGGCTGGGTGGGTGAGTGGCTGGGTGGGCGAGTGGCTGAGTGGCTGGGTGGACGAGTGGCTGGGTGGGCGAGTGGCTGGGAGGGCGAGTGGCTGGGTGGGCGAGTGGCTGGGTGGACGAGTGGGTGGCTGAGTGGCTGGGTGGACGAGTGGGTGGCTGAGTGGCTGGGTGGGCGAGTGGCTGGGTGGGTGAGTGAGTGGCTGGGTGAGCGAGTGGCTGAGTTGGTGAGTGGCTGGGTGGGTGAGTGAGTGGCTGGGTGGGTGAGTGTCTGGGTGAGCGAGTGGCTGGGTGGGTGAATGGCTGGGTGAGGTGAGTGGGTGAGCGGCTGGGTGAGCGAGTGGCTGGGTGAGTGAGTGGGTGAGTGGCTGGGTGAGGTGAGTGGGTGAGTGGCTGGGTGGGCGAGTGGCTGGGTGGGTGAGTGGCTGGGTGGGTGAGTGGCTGGGTGAGGTGAGTTGGTGAGTGGCTGGGTGGGTGAGCGGCTTGGTGAGCGAGTGACTGGGTGAGTGAGTGGCTGGGTGGGCGAGTGGCTGGGTGGGTGGCTGGGCGAGTGGCTTGGTGAGTGAGGTGAGTGGGTGAGTGAGTGGCTGGGTGAGCGAGTGGTTGGGTGAGCGGGTGGCTGGGTGAGTGGCTGGATGGGCGAGTGGCTGGATGGGCGAGTGGCTGGGTGGGTTTGTGGGTGGGTGGGCGAGTGGCTGGGTGAGCGAGTGGCTGAGTTGGTGAGTGGCTGGGTGGGTGAGTGAGTGGCTGGGTGGGTGAGTGTCTAGGTGAGCGAGTGGCTGGGTGGGTGAATGGCTGGGTGAGGTGTGTGGGTGAGCGGCTGGGTGAGCGAGTGGCTGGGTGAGTGAGTGGGTGAGTGGCTGGGTGAGGTGAGTGGGTGAGTGGCTGGGTGGGCGAGTGGCTGGGTGGGTGAGTGGCTGGGTGGGTGAGTGGCTGGGTGGGTGAGTGGCTGGGTGAGGTGAGTTGGTGAGTGGCTGGGTGGGTGAGTGGCTGGGTGGGCGAGTGGCTGGGTGAGTGAGGTGAGTGGGTGAGTGAGTGGCTGGGTGGGTGGCTGGGCGAGTGGCTGGGTGGGTGAGCGGCTGGGTGGGCGAGTGGCTGGGTGAGTGAGGTGAGTGGCTGGGTGAGTGGCTGGGTGAGTGGCTGGATGGGCGAGTGGCTGGGTGGGTGAGTGGCTGGGTGGGCGAGTGGGTGAGTGGCTGGGTGAGTGGCTGGGTGAGTGAGTGGCTGGGAGGGCGAGTGGCTGGGTGGGTGAGTGGCTGGGTGGGTGAGTGGCTGGGTGGGTGAGTGAGTGGGTGGGTGAGTGAGTGGCTGGGTGAGTGAGTGGGTGGGCGAGTGACTGAGTGAGTGGCTGGGTGGGCGAGTGACTGGGTGAGTGGCTGGGTGAGTGAGCGACTGGGCCACGAACAGTGCTTGCCCCAGCAGCGTGTGCGAGGCTACACGGGGGACCTTTGTCTGCGTGTCTCTGCAGACGGGCCGCGTGGAGCCGCTGATGATGACCTTCACGGATGAGGAGGAGCGGCAGATGAAGAGGATGCTGAAGAGGATGGACATCCTCGCCACGGTGACTCACCTCGTCAGCAGCATCATCAGCAGTAGCAGCATCAGCAGTAGCAGCATCGTCATCATCAGCAGCAGCAACATCATCATCTTCAGGAGTAATAGTAGCAGCAGCATCATCGGTAGCAGCATCATCAGCAGTAGCAGCATTAGCAGCAGCATCATCAGCAGTAGCAGCATCATCAGTAGCAGCATTAGCAGCATCATCAGCAGTAGCAGCATCATCAGCAGTACTAGCAGCATCAGCAGCATCATCAGCAGTAGCAGCATCATCAGCAGTACTAGCAGCATCAGCAGCATCATCAGCAGTAGCAGTATCATCAGCAGTACTAGCAGCATCAGCAGCATCATCAGCAGTAGCAGCATCATTAGTAGCAGTAGCATCATCATTAGTAGCAGCATCATCATCATCAGCAGCAGCAGCAACATCATCATCTTTAGGAGTAATAGTAGCAGCATCGTCAGCAGTAGCATCATCAGTAGCAGCAGCATCATCATCAGTATCAGCATCATCATCAGTAGTAGCAGCATCATCAGTAGCAGCATCGTCATCAGTAGTAGCATCATCAGCATCATCAGCAGTAGCAGCATCATCAGTAGCAGCATTAGCAGCATCATCAGCAATAGCAGCATTAGCAGCATCATCAGCAATAGCAGCATCATCAGTAGCAGCATCGTCATCAGTAGTAGCATCATCAGCATCATCAGCAGTAGCAGCATCATCAGTAGCAGCATTAGCAGCATCATCAGCAATAGCAGCATTAGCAGCATCATCAGCAATAGCAGCATCATCAGCAGTACTAGCAGCATCAGCAGCATCATCAGCATCATCAGCAATAGCAGCATCATCAGCATCATCAGCATTAGCAGCATCATCAGCAATAGCAGCATTAGCAGCATCATCAGCAATAGCAGCATCATCAGCAGTACTAGCAGCATCAGCAGCATCATCAGCAGTAGCAGCATCATTAGTAGCAGTAGCATCATCATTAGTAGCAGCATCATCATCATCAGCAGCAGCAGCAACATCATCATCTTCAGGAGTAATAGTAGCAGCATCATCATCAGTAGCAGCATCATCAGTAGCAGCATCATCAGTAGCAGCATCATCAGTAGTAGCAGCATCATCAGTAGTAGCAGCATCATCAGTAGTAGCAGCATCATCAGTAGTAGCAGCATCATCAGTAGTAGCAGCATCATCAGTAGTAGCAGCATCATCAGTAGTAGCATCGTCATCATCAGTAGCAGCATCATCAGTAGCAGCATCATCAGTAGCAGCATCATCAGTAGCAGCATCATCATCAGTAGCAGCATCATCAGTAGCAGCATCATCAGTAGCAGCATCATCAGCAGTAGTAGCAGCATCATCAGCAGTAGCAGCATCATCAGTAGTAGCAGCATCATCAGCAGCATCATCATCAGTAGTAGCAGCATCATCATCAGTAGCAGCATCGTCATCAGTAGTAGCAGCATCATCATGATCAGCATCATCATCAGTAGTAGCAGCATCATCAGTAGTAGCAGCATCATCATCAGTAGCAGCAGCATCATCATTAGTAGCAGCATCATCATGATCAGCATCATCTTCAGTAGTATCAGCATCATCAGCAGCAACCATCATCATGATCAGCATCATCATCAGTAGTATCAGCATCATCAGCAGCAACCATCATCATGATCATCATCAGTAGTATCAGCATCATCAGCAGCAACCATCATCATGATCAGCATCATCATCAGTAGTAGCAGCATCATCATGATCAGCATCATCATCAGTAGTATCAGCATCATCAGCAGCAACCATCATCATGATCAGCATCATCATCAGTAGTAGCAGCATCATCATGATCAGCATCATCATCAGTAGTATCAGCATCATCAGCAGCAACCATCATCATGATCAGCATCATCATCAGTAGTAGCAGCATCATGATCAGCATCATCATCAGTAGTATCAGCATCATCAGCAGCAACCATCATCATGATCAGCATCATCATCAGTGGTAGCAGTCCGCGTGGTTGACGCGCACCGGGCTAAAGACGCCGACAGACTCGCCAATAAATAACCCCTCCATTGTCGTGTCTCACCCACCCCGTGTGTCTCACCCACCCCGTGTGTCTCACCCACCCCGTGTGTCTCACCCACCCCGTGTGTCTCACCCACCCCGTGTCTCACCCACCCCGTGTCTCACCCACCCCGTGTCTCACCCACCCCGTGTCTCACCCACCCCGTGTCTCTCCCACCCCGTGTCTCACCCACCCCGTGTCTCACCCACCCCGTGTCTCACCCACCCCGTGTCTCACCCACCCCGTGTCTCACCCACCCCGTGTGTCTCACCCACCCCGTGTCTCACCCACCCCGTGTCTCACCCACCCCGTGTCTCACCCACCCCGTGTCTCACCCACCCCGTGTCTCACCCACCCCGTGTCTCACCCACCCCGTGTCTCACCCACCCCGTGTCTCACCCACCCCGTGTCTCACCCACCCCGTGTCTCACCCACCACGTGTCTCACCCACCACGTGTCTCACCCACCACGTGACTCACCCACCACGTGTCTCACCCACCACGTGACTCACCCACCACGTGTCTCACCCACCACGTGTCTCACCCACCACGTGTCTCACCCACCCCGTGTCTCACCCACCCCGTGTCTCACCCACCCCGTGTCTCTCCCCGTGTCTCACCCCGTGTCTCACCCACCCCGTGTCTCACCCCGTGTCTCACCCACCCCGTGTCTCACCCACCCCGTGTCTCACCCACCCCGTGTCTCACCCACCCCGTGTCTCACCCACCCCGTGTCTCTCTCCCCCGTGTCTCACCCACCCCGTGTCTCACCCACCCCGTGTCTCACCCACCCCGTGTCTCACCCACCCCGTGTCTCCCCCACCCGTGTCTCACCCACCCCGTGTCTCACCCACCGTGTCTCTCTCCCCGTGTCTCCCCCCCGTGTCTCTCTCCCCGTGTCTCTCTCCTCGTGTCTCTCTCCCCGTGTCTTTCTCCCCGTGTCTCTCTCCCCGTGTCTCTCCCCCCGTGTCTCTCCCCCCGTGTCTCTCCCCCCGTGTCTCTCCCCCCGTGTCTCACCCACCCCGTGTCTCACCCCCCTGTGTCTCACCCCCCTGTGTCTCACCCCCCTGTGTCTCACCCACCCCGTGTCTCTCCCCCCGTGTCTCTCTCCCCGTGTCTCTCCCCCCGTGTCTCCCCCCCGTGTCTCTCCCCCGTGTCTCTCCCCCCGTGTCTCTCCCCCCGTGTCTCTCTCCCCGTGTCTCTCTCCCCGTGTCTCTCTCCCCGTGTCTCTCTCCCCGTGTCTCCCCCCCGTCTCTCCCCGTGTCTCTCCCCCCGTGTCTCTCTCCCCGTGTCTCCCACCCCGTGTCTCTCCCCCCGTGTCTCTCCCCCCGTGTCTCTCTCCCCGTGTCTCTCTCCCCGTGTCTCTCTCCCCGTGTCTCCCCCCCGTCTCTCCCCGTGTCTCTCTCCCCGTGTCTCACCCCCCCGTGTCTCCCCCCCGTGTCTCTCTCCCCCGTATCTCTCCCCCCGTGTCTCTCTCCCCGTGTCTCTCTCCCCGTGTCTCTCTCCCCGTGTCTCCCCCCCGTCTCTCCCCGTGTCTCTCTCCCCGTGTCTCCCACCCCGTGTCTCTCCCCCCGTGTCTCTCCCCCGTGTCTCCCCCCGTGTCTCCCCCCGTGTCTCTCCCCGTGTCTCTCTCCGTGTCTCTGTGTCTCTCCCCCCGTGTCTCTGTGTCTCTCCCCCTGTGTCTCTCCCCCTGTGTCTCTCCCCCCGTGTCTCTCCCCGTGTCTCCCCCCGTGTCTCCCCCCCCGTGTCTCTCCCCCCGTGTCTCTCCCCGTGTCTCCCACCGTGTCTCTCCCCCCGTGTCTCTCCCCCTGTGTCTCTCCCCCCGTGTCTCCCCCCCGTCTCTCCCCGTGTCTCTCTCCCCGGGTCTCCCACCCCGTGTCTCTCCCCCCGTGTCTCTCCCCCGTGTCTCTCCCCCGTGTCTCTCCCCGTGTCTCCCCCCGTGTCTCCCCCCCCGTGTCTCTCCCCGTGTCTCCCACCGTGTCTCTCCCCCCGTGTCTCTCCCCCTGTGTCTCTCCCCCCGTGTCTCCCCCCCGTCTCTCCCCGTGTCTCTCTCCCCGTGTCTCCCACCCCGTGTCTCTCCCCCCGTGTCTCCCCCCGTGTCTCTCTCCGTGTCTCTGTGTCTCTCCCCCCGTGTCTCTGTGTCTCTCCCCCTGTGTCTCTCCCCCCGTGTCTCTCCCCGTGTCTCCCCCCGTGTCTCCCCTCCCGTGTCTCTCCCCCCGGGTCTCTCCCCGTGTCTCCCACCGTGTCTCTCCCCCCGTGTCTCTCCCCGTGTCTCCCCCCGTGTCTCTCCCCCCGTGTCTCTCCCCCCGTGTCTCCCCCCCGTCTCTCCCCGTGTCTCCCCCCGTGTCTCTCCCCCCGTGTCTCTCCCCGTGTCTCCCCCCGTGTCTCTCCCCCTGTGTCTCTCCCCCCGTGTCTCCCCCCCGTCTCTCCCCGTGTCTCCCCCCGTGTCTCTCCCCCCGTGTCTCTCCCCCCGTGTCTCTCCCCTCGTGTCTCTCCCCCGTGTCTCTCCCCCGTGTCTCCCCCCGTGTCTCCCCCCCGTCTCCCCCCGTGTCTCTCCCCCCGTCTCTCCCCGTGTCTCCCCCCGTGTCTCTCTCCCCACCGCCTGCAGGCGGCTGTCCAGCGTGGTGTACGCCTCATGGTGGATGCTGAGCAGTCATACTTCCAGCCGGCCATCTCCCGCCTCACCGTGGAGATGATGCGCAGCTACAACGGGCAACGGCCGGCTCTCTTCAACACCTACCAGGGGTACCTCAAGGTACACACACACACAACATACACACACACCTACACATACACACCTATACATACACACACACCTACACATACACACACAAC